GTGGTCCTGGTCAAGACAATCTCCTGAACTCCAAACTGAATGTCAGAATGGGACTATTTAGACTATTTCACAAAAGTACACAAATTTTTACAGTTTTCAAATGTAATTGCATTTTTAAGATGCAGGTGAGATATACACAATTCAAAGTAATGCTTTTATGTTGCAAAACGTATTTCAAGTAAACAGTGTTGTAGTACTCGAGACTCGGACTCGGTCTCGAGACCATATTTTAATGGTCTTGGTCTTGTCATGGACTCGTGTCCATTTGGACTCGGAATTGACTCGTACTCGAACATTTTTTTTTTTTTAGGACTCGGACTCATTCCCGAGTCCACTCGAGTTCAATTAAAAATATTTTTCATGATTATTAATGTATGTTAATGAAATATTTCTTTAAATTGATTGACACACCCAGTGATTGGTGATTTTCTAGTGCGCAACTGCGCATGACAAATTGTAATAAAATTACTTTTAACACCACCTACTATGTGGCCTTTTTACCCTAAACTGATCATATTTTTTAAACTCTAAGTAAATTCAGTAAAAAAAAAAAAAAAAAAAAATAAGGATTTCTCTAAGTAAATAAAAGTAAATTAGGTAATCAACCCTCACTGGTCTCGGTCTCGGTCTCGACTCGGACTCGACCGTTTCTGGTCTCGGACTCGACTCTCTATGGACTCGTTCTTGACTCGGACTCGACTCTCTCTGGTCTCGGTGTCGACTCGGACTCGAGTGAGGTGGTCTCGACTACAACACTGCAAGTAAACGCTGTTCTTTTGAGCTTTCTGTTCATCAAAGAATTATGAAAATGTACCTCAAAAATATGAAGCAGCACAGCTGTTTTCAACATTGACAATAATAATAATAGTAAATGTTCATCTTGTGCATCAAATCATAATATTATAGTGATTTCTGAACGATCATGTGACACTGAAGAGTTGAGTAATGACGCTGAAAATTCAGTTTTGATCACAGGAATAAATTACATTTTACAACATCATTTTAAAGTGTATCATTTTGATCAAATAAATGCGGCATATTGTGAAAGTAAGCACTGAAGCATTGAAGACGCTTACCAACCCCAAAGTTTTGAATGCTCATGCAATATCCAAAATAATGATGTTTGGCCTGACCTGATATGCGTCCAGTTGCTGGGATGTAAAGATGGTCTGTTTGTTCCCCATCCTCGCAGTGCCATGGCAAACTCCCTGTGGTCTGCAGCGAATGCCAGCAGATGTTTCAGATATGAAATACTGGCACAAAAGGCCTCGGTGAGACACGGCAGATCAGGTGTCGGCCTTTAGTTCTGTTATAATGGCGGTATTTCATCATTTAGCTGCCGTGAATGGCGGTCTCTCTCTGACATGAATGCGTGCTGTCGGTCAAACAGAGCAGGGGTAACAGCGTCAGATTACTGACTGATTCACACAGAGCAAAAACTGCTAACCGGCTTTGTTTTATAAGAGCAAGTAAGATAAAAAGTCACTTTGCTGTTATAAATGCTGGCTGCATTTATTTGAGGAAAAATAACGTTAGATTAAAGAGACAAGTGAGCGAGAGAAAGTGAGTGTGTGTCTGTATAAAAATATAGCCTACTTAAAGGAGTAGTTCACTTTAAAAAAAAAAAAAACTTTTGCTGATAATTTTCTCACCCCCATGTCATCCAAGATGTCCATGTCTTTCTTTCTTCAGTGGAAAAGAAATTAAGGTTTTTGATAAAAAAAAAACATTCCAGAATTTTTCTCCATATAATGGACTTCAATGGGGTCCAAACGGTTCAAGGTCCAAATGAGAGTTTCAAAATGATTCAAAATGAGTCATTTCGTTCGTTCAATGTACAAAATGAACGAAATGACTTGGAAAAAAGATTCGTTCACGAGTTCGAACAGCAGAGTCACGAACGCGCATCACAGAACAGAGCAAGGCGAGCATTTGTGATTATAAAACTTTAACTTTTTTATTTATTTTTTCATTGAGTAGTCGTTTCGCTTGATAAGACCCTTATTCATCGTCTGGTGTCGTTTAAAGCCCTTTGAAGCTGCACTGAAACCGTCTTTTGGACCTTGAACCGTTTGGACCCCATTGAAGTCCATTATATGGAGAAAATCCTGGAATGTTTTCATCAAAAACCTTTATTTCTTTTCGACTGAAGAAAGAGCTTTTTTTTTTTTTTTAAAGTGAAATACTCCTTTAACTATCGTCTTACTGGTAAGGTTAGTCTACTTTATATTTTGCAGACAAATTTTTACCAAAATCTCCCAAAAAAAAAAAATAATAAAATAAACTTAATTTAGGGACGTCCTCATTTGTAAAAAATAAAGTAATAAATGTTTTTTGAAAATTTAAAAATGCAGGTAGTTTTGTGTGATGGGTAGGTCAGGGTTGGTGTGTGTGTGTGACAGTTAAGCAATATATTCAATACTAAGTTTATATTTTGTATTTGACTTCTCTCTGGTGGTATGTTTTGTTGTTGTAGTTTTTTGAGGAGTGAAATGTCACCCAGGCATCTTCACCTCTTTCATCCTAGTTTCAATAATGTTCCTGATAAAGCGTTTTGACTGGAGATCTCATGAAAAGCAGCCTGGTATATTGTGTTAATATGCATCTCAATTATGACATTAAATATGCAAGCATTCGTGCACGAGTTGACCATTGTGAGTTTAATTGGTTGGCACAGAAGCTGAACCGTATCAGTTGATCCTGTGGAAGCCCTGCAGCTGTTTTACCCCTTGTTTTCTCTCTCTCTTTTACTTTCACTCTATAGGAGGCGATCAGCTCATACTCTACCTGTCATCTGTTGCTTTAGTTGGCCCTTTTCCTATATGATCCCATGGGAAGACACAAGATCAGATGCTGTATATAACAGAGCAAAGTTACTGCATGTTACATCAGAAAGTTGTATCTTCCTTTTAAAAGGTGTTTGTATTTGCAATATATGACACAAACCACAGAAAATAAAACTTTGTTCATCATTTATTTTTCAACCTTTCACAACATGCAACAATTACATCTTGACCGACTCAAGCTCCTTCATATTACAATTTCAAGTCTATTTACATATTTGACAATTTTATCCTTGCACAAAAGTCCAGATTCACAGCATAAACACAAGCAATAACCATCACGACCACGTCATTTCACCATCTAGGTTAACTATACCGAGATAGTCCGGCTATGAGTAACACACTTCTAGCCAAAATAACCTTGAATTTGGTTATGCCTACACGTCGTTTTTGCCAAAATAGCTTTTTTCATTTCCAGGATATGAATTCTTGATATCAACAATTAAATTCTTGATATCAACAATTACATTTTTTGATATCAACGATTTAATTGCTGGTATCTGTAATTGCATTTTCACTAGTGAAATTTCACCATAGGCTGCCATTCAAAATAAATTGTTGATATCAATTTTACTAGTAGAAATATCATTTTTGATGTCAATAATTACAGTTACTAGTAAAAATATGAATTCCTGAAATAATATCCCAATAATTAAATTGTCACTAGTTGAAATGTCTATTCTTGATATCAACAATTCAATTTGTTCTAGTAAAAATTATCCTTTTTGATATCTGAAAATGTATTTCTGATATCAATATTATTTCAGATATTTAAAATGGCTTTCTTACTAGTAATCACATTCATGATATAAGAAATTAACATTGTCACTAGTGAAAATTGAATTATTGATATCAAAAATGAATGTTGTTACTAGTAGCAATTAAATTGTGGATATCAAGAATAGGCATTTCAAGTAGTAACAACTGAATTCTTGATATCAAAAATAAAGGTTTTTTATGAGTAATAATTGTATTTCTGATATGTGAAATTGGAATTTCAACTATAAAGAAATCAATTCTTGATATCAACAACTGGTTTTAAATGGCAGCCTGTGGTGACATTTCACTAGTGAAAATACAATTGTTGATATCAAGAATTCATATCCTGGAAATGAATAAAAGTTAAAACGGGTTGCCATATCTATGATATTCCATCATGTAAGCAAAGTAAACAGTGATTACAAGGTGTTTGGTTTCATTTCTTCATCTAATTGATGACTAGTCTATTCTTCACTCTTAGATGAAATGGTTCCATCCCCCGCTTCATGTATGGAACTTCTATATTTTTTGGTAAAAGGTTCTATTGACCAAGTATGGAACCCCAGGGTTCTACAGTATATAGAACCCAGAGGAACCCTTTTTTAAGAGTGTATAGAACCTTTTAGGGGTTCCAAATACGTAGCACTGATAGAACCTTTTACGGTTCTAAATGGAACCGTTTCTTCTAAGAGTGTTTGGCTGTTTTACACGTCTAGTACATTTTCACTGACAGCCCAAATGTTGCCTTGTTTAAAGGGATACTCCACTTTTTTTGGAAGTAGGCTCGTTTTACAACTCCCCCAGAGTTAAACAGTTCAGTTTTACCGTTTTCGAATCCATTCAGCCGATTTTCTGATATTTAGAAGAATATCAGTAACCAGACAGTTTCTGGTCTCATTGACTTCCATAGTAGGAAAAAAGTATATACTATGGAAGTCAATGAGACCAGAAACTGTCTGGTTACTGATATTCTTCTAAATATCAGAAAATTTGGCTGAATACATTCGAAAACGGTAAAAAAATCTACTGTTTAACTCTTGGGGAGTTGTAAAACGAGCCTACTTCCAAAAAAAGTGGAGTATCCCTTTGAGCCTAGACGTCTGGGCTGTGTTTGGACGGCTATTAGACGTCTTTTAAACGCAAAACGGCGTGATTGGCCGGTTTGTTTCACAGAAAAATTGTATGCTGCTTTGTGGATCTTCCTTTTAAAGGTTTTTGTATTTGAAACAAGAATAAAAATAAAAAATCATCGCCGTTCGTCCATCATTTTTGTGTAAGAATTTATTTAGACTTTATAATAGTTCACAACATGCAATATACAAATTTACATCTTTCACAAGTGACCGACTTAATCTCCTCCATATATTAAAATCTCATGTCTATTTACATATTTTACAATTTCATCCCAGTTTAAACACTGCCGTGTTTTGACAGGAGCGCGGCGTTTCTCAGTGACAGCCGCAGCTTCCCGCCACCATATCGTCGTACTGCTTTAGCACCACGTTCTCGTCGTCGTCGAAGTACAGCAGGTTGATGCTGAAGAGTTTGTCCGGGACGCAGCAGGGCGTCTCGATGCCTCTGGTCAGTTTGAGGGCGTTGATGATGGACTGGACCGTGGCGTGGTTGGTCGGCCTCATGTTCTGACCCAGGGGAAACGCACAGGAGCCTTTGCAGTGATAAGCGTTGTATCCGCGCGGAGACACGATCCAACCCGACCAGCCGATCTCCTCGAAGTCAACGTAGAGAGGCAGACGCTGACACGGCATCTTCTCCGCGCTGTCGTCAAAGCCTGCGGATCGAGCGCTTCGACGGGCCGCCGCGGGGAGAGGGAGGCTGGGAAACGGGAGACTTGCTCCAACGGGAGAATCATCTGAACCTGAGCAGAAAGAGGAGTGCAGGTTAGAACCGTAGACTGTAAAAAAAAATATGGATGTAGCGTCAAAAAACCTTTGTGGGCGGAGCTGGACGTCGCCATCTTAGCTGCGCGTCGCTCCCGGAAAAACGAAAATGCTCAGAGGCGGTGTGGTGAAGAGATGAGTTTTGGCGTTTTGGCGTTTTGTTTTGGCGTTATGTGTTGCTTGAATGCTAAATAAATAAGATAAGCAGTTTGTTGCCATCAAGTAATACATTTTACCGCGAATTGTGCCGGGAAATTTAAAAATACTACATTTATTGTCATAGTTTTAAAAGTTTTTCAGTTGAGAACTTTAAACATACATGTTAAAAGACATTAATGACTCGTTATAGCGTAGTTCAAACATCTTCTATAATTAAAGTGATTTTCTCTGATTTGTAACCAGGCACTAAAGCGAATACCCATAAAACTAGCTTTGAACCAATCGGATTGCTTGGGTCCTAAGCTGGGACCCATCTCTTCACCACAACGGATTAGCTAACGGCTAGTAGTGACATCAGAGGCAATCCACCTGTCATTCAAGTGGCCATGCCCTTAATTATGCAGAAATTTAAGGCTTAATATAATTTAAACAGATGATTTATAAAACAATTCACCCCCCTCACAGTTTTCATGAAGGGCAAAATTAGCTATATAGACCAAAAACACTTTTTGAACCAGGTTGTAAACATGTTTTTTCTGCTGTAAATTTGGGCAGTTTAACATGGGGGTCTATGGGATTGACTCTCTTTTGGACCCGGTCTCTAGTGGCCAGTCGATGAATTGCAGTTTAAGTCACTTCAGTGTTGAATTCAAGAGACTCGAAGGTTGCCGCTTGTGTGAGGAACCCCTAACTTAAAAAAATGTAAAAGTCTCTTTTTTTAAATATATATATATATATATATATATAGTTAATTAGTAGTAGATTTTATCATGCATTTATTTTTATACTATATTTGGTATATCACTATATTAAAAGTATGTTCCCAATTCATCCTAAAAAATAATACTAATTTTTATTATTTTCCATTTTAATTTTAGAAAAAAAATCAGCAATTTTGTCTATAATGTTTATATAGACATTTAAAAAAAGTAAAAAAGTCTATAAATGTTATATAGGTAAATATGTATATAAAAGGGTTTTTTATTTTTTATTTCAGCTAATGTTTATTGTATTTCAAGTAATGTAAATTTAGCTTTAGTAGAGTATAATAATGCTGTTTCTACTGCATCACTTCATGTTTTTATACTTTCTATAATATGTTTATGTATTGTTTATTTTTTTTTACATTTATTAAAAAATTAAATTAATTACTAATTAATAACTAATTAATTAAATTAACGTTTTACAATTTACTAAATATTTTACAATTTACCAATATTTTATTTACTATATCACTATTTTTTATTTACTTGTTTTTTATGCATTGTTACATTTTTAACCCCAAACTTTTCCACAGACCTCCAAACTCCCTGGTTTGCATAAGCACAATTTAAAGCAAGACGTTCTTGAAATGAAACCACACAGTGCATTTTTGGATAGAGATACTGTATACGAGAAATAATAAACAGATGCATATGTCCAACCTTTAGGAGTCTCGAGAGATGCCGCCCGCCTGCCGTCGTCGGTGAACAGGACCAGCATGGGCTGTTTGCTGTGATGATGATGACGGCCGGATGCGAAACGCACGCTTTTCAGATCCATCTGAAGACCTGCTAGAGTCCTCACCGAGACCAGGACCCCCAGATTACTGCCCTCATCTGACGTCCAAGAGCGCACCTTCCAGAAACAATTAATACATCTTTAGCTAACTGTTTGCATATGTACATTTCTGAAATGCATAACATATCACTCTAAATTGTTACGTGGACTCATGCATTGCATTGTGTGAAAAGCGCTATATAAATAAAAGTGAACTGAACTGAATAAACAGAAATGTAGTTAGTCAATGTTTTTGCACGAGCAACTTCTAAAACATTTTTTAATTTAAACAGAACCTGAGATTATGTTTACATGCAACCAAATAATCCGTCAGTAATGGGACTGACGGCTCAATCAAAATGAAAAGCCTTGATGTAAACACAATGTTTACCATGTAAACATTATATAAATGGTGGTTTATTCCTTTTCTAATCTGATCGAGAGGACATGTAAACACTTGAACCGAAACTGAAAGGACTGCGCATGTGCAAAGACGTAGAGACGAACGAGCTGTTCCTGTTGTTGAATAAAGTGTCATAAGTGAGTGTCCCGTTCACCCAAACATGAAAATGATGTCATTAATGACTCTAGAACACAGTTTAAGATATTTTAGATTTAGTCCGAGGGCTTTCTGTCCCTCCAGTACAGTATACTGTCCTTGTCCAGAAAGGAAATAAAGACGTCATCAAAGTAGTCATGTGACATCAGTGGGTTAGTTACAATGTTTCGAAGCATCGAAAATACATTTTGCTCCAAAAATAACAAAAACTACGTCTTTATTCAGCATTGTATTGTGGATCCGCGTTCAGTGCCGCGGCTGACGTGTGTCGTTATGTATACACTACATTCAGATTCATCAACCGCTTTGAACAAAAGTTGTGCATGTAAATTCCTCATTTTGGTTCATAGCCTAGGCTACTTACGGCTTGAGTGATGGTGAAAACCTCCCAGCCGGTGGAATGGATGGGAACCAGTCTGGACGAGAGCAGCTTCTTCCCTTGCGAGACGTTCTTTTTACTGCCGTCGAGAACCTGATAGACACTGACCTGTAGAAACACACCACTTCAATGATTAATAACCAGAAGAACTTACTTCATTGGCTTCCTCTGGTGTGTAAGTTAGGAGCGTACCTGACAGAAGTGGTGTCTGTTGAAGGCGAGAGACGCTTGAGGCCTGAGCTTGAACAGATGAAGCTCGGCCGTCAGGATCTTCTCACTCTTGGCCACCGTGGACATGTTGAAGAGAAACTCCACATGCTCACTGTGCACTACAGAGAGATGGACAGATAGATGAAGTCATCATGTGAAATGACACGAACTTTGTACATTTTTACACTGAGGGCTGTAACTATCATCACACTCTAAACAATGCTGGGTTGTTTCAACCCAAATTTGGGTCGAATATGGACAAACCCAAATGTTGGGTAAAATACGTGATTAAAAAATGTACAGTTGAAGTTGGGTTAAAAATAAAATTTAAATTATATTTTTAACCCAACATTTGGGGTTTTCCATATTTGAATATTTTTGGATTAGGTAATCCAGATTACATGTAATAATCTGTTACTACTATGGTTTTGTACATTTGTAGTTGTATTTGTGCACTATAAAACTGCTGGGTTGTTTCAACCCAGGTTTGTGTCACATGTGGACAAACCTACCATTGGTTTAAATTTTCTAAAAAAAAAATTCTAAAGCCCAACATTTGGTTTATTTTACTTTACTATTTTTTAAAACTCAATGGTTGTTTTAATTTTTCAAAATGTTTAAAACCAACGGTTGGGTTTGTCCATATTTAACCCAAACATGTTGGTTTATTTTACTTTACTACCGGTATTTTTTTAAACCCAACGGTTGGTTTAATTTTCGTTTATTTTACTTTACTATTTTTTTTTTCAACCCAATGGTTGGTTTAATTTTTCAAAATGTTTAAAACCAACAGTTGGGTTAGTCGATATTTAACTTAACCCAAACATCGGTTGAAACAACGGTTGGTTGGTTTATTTACTTTACTATTTTTTAAACCCAACGGTTGGTTTAATTTTTCTAAATGTTTAAAAACCAACGGTTGGGTTCGTACATATTTGACCCAAAACGACAACTGCTCTCCAACACTTTTCAATCCCAAATTTTCTTTTGTATGTCCACTTCAAGTGAAAAAAAGAAATCAGAAAGTATCTTACGTTTATCGAAGAAGCTTCGGACCGTGTTTCCCTCCAGGAGCGAAGGGTCTTTGGTGACCCCGTCCACATCTGCGATGGTGTTGTACAGGTCCAGCATGTACTGGGGAGGCTGTTTGTGTCCCCGAACCAGTGCAGCTGGAGGATCCTCCATCCCAAACACCTCCAAAAGCCTCTTAATCGCCTCGGAACGGACTTCTTCAGACTCGTTCTGCACTGTAAAGTGGTTTTCCAGGTAATTGAGAGACGGTCTGCTGACGGCGAAGCCCATCATCACGGAGATCCAGATCACTGCAGGCAACATGATGATCAAATCCTCAGAGACGGTGTTTGGTGGCTGGAACTGGACTAACTGAAGCTCTGCCGGAGTGGGACCTGTTTATATGATGTTGGCCCAAAGTCTTCGGTCAACAGCCATAAAGAGCTGCTATTTAGTCGCAAATGTAAATCAACAATCAGTGAATGTAAAGCAAATCTAATGGCGGTGTTAACGAGGTGCGAACAGGACAGGTGGTCCTCGAGAGATCCTGGGGGGAAATTAGTGTTTATCAAATGTACATTGCTGTAAATAAGCCATATATATTTAGATTAAATAAAAATGTTACATTTAAAGGTGAGATATTTTAATGCACTACATTTCGCGCGTCTTGCAGAGACGTTTTCGCGCGTTTTGCGCGCGACGGGTGGTTAACTTCCTTCAGAATGGATCCATTAACTGAGACAAAACGAGGATAATGGGATACAGGGAACAATTATTTCGAAAGCATGCGCCCTGTGTTTTCATGTTAATGGCACACACACCTGCTCAAACAGAGATTTGAGTCTGAGCAAATTAAAAATCACCTCATTTTAACACGCAGGACTGGATTTGCATAAATGAGCTCAATCCTCGTCGAGTTTGAATCAATAGATAGTCAATGTAATTGTGAGTGACTTTTCTGGGTGGTTTAGAGTTTCATTTCTCATCTGGTATGTTTTCATTAGGGCTCATTATAGTGTGTTTGGATCCCCTGATCCGTCTGGCAATGAGGAGATTTATTAATACTCATGGGTGGCAGGAGCTCTTCTTGTCATATAGGAGGTTTATGTTGCTTTAAGATTAATGCACTTTTGCAATCAGTTATTTTAGTTTTTGAGTTGTGGTGATTCATTTTATTCATAATCTTTTAAGCTATCTATCTATCTATCTATCTATCTATCTATCTATCTATCTATCTATCTATCTATCTATCTATCTATCTATCTATCTATCATCTATCTATCTATCTATCTATCTATCTATCTATCTATCTATCTATCTATCTATCTATCTATCTATCTATCTGTCTGTCTCTCTGTCTGTCTGTCTATCCATCTATCAGCTATCTATTTATCTAGCTCTCTGTTCATCTATCTATCTATCTATCTATCTATCTATCTATCTATCTATCTATCTATCTATCTATCTATCTATCTATCTATCTATCTATCTATCTATCTATCTATCTATCTATGTATCTATCTATGTATCTATCTATCTATCTATCTATCTATCTATCTATCTATCTATCTATCTATCTATCTATCTATCTATCTATCTATCTATCTATCTATCTATCTATCTATCTATTTGTCTATCCATCGATCAGCTATCTATTTATCTAGCTCTCTGTTCATCTGTCTATTCATGTATCTATCTATCTATCTATCTATCTATCTATCTATCTATCTATCTATCTATCTATCTATCTATCTATCTATCTATCTATCTATCTATCTATCTATCTATCTATCTATCTATCTATCTATCTATCTATCTATCTATCTGTCTGTCTGTCTGTCTGTCTATCCATCTATCAGCTATCTATTTATCTAGCTCTCTGTTCATCTGTCTGTCTATCTATCTATCTATCTATCTATCTATCTATCTATCTATCTATCTATCTATCTATCTATCTATCTATCTATCTATCTATCTATAGCTATCTATCTATCTATCTATCTATCTATCTATCTATCTGTCTGTCTGTCTGTCTGTCTGTCTAACTCTGAATTCCCGCTCTACAATATTTAGTTGGGATTACAGTATTTTGTAGGCTATTTTCCATATGCGACTCCTCTTTGTCATTTGCATGTCTTGCTAATGCCTTAAGATTTGTAATATGATTTAAAGCTGAGACATGATTTGCATTTGTAACACGCTAGTCTAGTGCATCTTGTCAGGTAGTCCAAAGATGGTAGACTGAAAGATTTTCTAACATAGATTTTATTTACAAAATACTTTTTACATAATTTACATATATTACAGATATATTTGAACGGCATCATGCTTTTAAATTGCCGTTCATCAACGCACAACCCCAAACCTGACATCAGGGCCGTGCAAATGATCAAATTCACGTAGTCGCTGAAGTCCTCCAGTGGGTGGCGATGTGTTTAAGACTGGCATAGACAAGAAGTGATGGCCAGAACGGTGCGGATCTGTCCGTGTTGACTGAGGAAAGTGTGGCTCTCGTAGTCTTGAGGAACACAAGCGTTGCCCTGTCCTTCAGCCCACAGCAGACATTCCCCGAGATCAGACGCACTCCTGCAGAAACACAGTTCAATTCAATTCACATTATTATTTGTGTCTTCACAATACACAGCTTTCAATCAACTCCACATTACAATATGTGACCCTGGACCACAAAACCAGTCTTATGTGTCCATTGTGTTTAAATCGAGATTGATACATCACCTGGAAGCTGAATAAATAAACTTTCCACACTGTAAAAAAATATTGCTGCTTTAACTTAAAAAATTAAGTAACCTGGCTGCCTTAAAATTGTAAGTTCATTGAAATGGAGAAATTGAGTTAATACAATGAAGGAGATTAATTTAATCATCAGAAACTTAAAATATTATGTTATCTGAACTAAATAAATGATTTAAGTTGATTTGACAAAAGTGATTACAGTGATTTTTTCTGATTATTTTTTTTTTTTTTTTTTTTTACAGTGCATTGATGTATGGTTTGATAAAGACAATATTTGTCCAAATATTCATCTGGAATCTGAGGGTGCAAAAAAATCAAAACATTGAGAAAATCACCTTTAAAGGTTTCCATTTCTGTTGATGATTGTTCTGCATCCACTCACAAAAATAAAATTGATATATTTAAGGTATTTACGAAATATCTACATGGATCATGATCTTTACTTAACAATAATTTTTGATCAGTCACCCTATTTTTACATTTAATTATCATTAACATTTACAAAAACTGTCTATCTAATCCTAATTTGAACTAATTTATCAGGACAGAAGTAATTACAACAGAAATATATATTCTACATCTATTATTCCTATTTACATTTATATTTTACACTATTAATTACAGTAATTATTACTTTTTTTAAAGTATAGTCTCTTATGTTCATTCAGGTTGCATTTATTTGATAAAAAATACCGTTAAAATGTTTCTGCATAATAGATCTGCATATTATAATGATTTCTGAAGGATCATGTGACACTGAAGACTGGAGTAATGATGCTGAAAGTTCAGCTAAATGACATTTTACTATATAAATTCACATAGAAAACACTTATTTTAAATTGTAAAAATATTTCACAATATTAGTATTTATACTTTATTTTTTGCTTAAAGAAAATGCAGCCTTAATGAGCATAAGAAACTTCTTTCAAAACTATAATCAAATGTGTGTGAATGCATGTGTGTGTGTATCATGTCACCAAAACTACAGAAAAATGAATTAGTACTTTTGATAATACATTAGAAAACAAAGGCAATTTCACTTACACAACTAACATGTTTTTCTGCTTTGATTTAAAGAATAACAGAAGTGTCAAAGTAAACTTTTGTGTTTTGATGTGCACTGTAAAATGTGTGTGTGTGTGTGTGTGTGATGGGGAGGTTTAAGGGTCTGGTTAGTGTGTTTGTGTGTGTGTTGGGTAGGTTTAGGGGTCGGGTTAGTGTGTGTGTGTGTGTGTGTGTGTTGGGTAGGTTTAGGGGTCGAGTTAGTGCAAGGGTACAGAATATAAAGTTTGTACAGTATAAACACCATTATGTCTATGGAGAGGCCCCATAAGACGAGTGTGTGTGTGTGTGTGTTTGCTCAGCTGTGTGTAAGGTGGGATATTCTGGTGTGTACCTGAGAAGACAGCGGCTCCCTGAGGTGCAGCTTCCCAAACATCTGCCAACATCTATTTCCTGTAAGAAAATTAGCAACACAAGAGAGAGAGGCCATCAGTGCCTGCTGTTAATGCGGGACGGCCCGCTAACATGCGAAGTGCTTTGATTTGGCACCTGCAGGGACCATTTGTGTCCTCCTCACACCTTTTACGAGAGCGTCGACAGACAGAACATCTGACACAGATGTGTTCAATAAACAGATCACACTCAACTTCACAATGGCAAGATTTAACCTCATTTCAAAACAAATTCACTTTTACTTCATATAATAGTTGGAACTCATTTTCTGCGTATTTTCCTATTATAGAGATTTAAAATACTTTAAAGTCACACTAAACTAGATAGAATAATGAAAAACATAAAATGTGAAAAAAATTTAAAAAACATAAAAAACATAAAAATATTTTTTTTTTTTTTTGTGCATGTTAAATATTTGGGACATTTTGTCACTTTTCATGGCAAAATAAACCATCAAGGCATCAAAGTTCATGCTTTTGAATTAAATTAAAGCAGAGCATTTCTTTAGCATAGCCTATCTGTGCTATGGGACGTTCTAGCACTAAGTAGTTATTTAGTCTGTAACGTCTCTTCATGCATATCCACACTTCAATCCTTTGTTGTCTAGTCAGGGAAATGTGAATTGGAAATGTTTGGAGGGGGGAAATGGATCAGGATCCTGACCTTTTTGTCTAACAAATGGGAAAACCAGCATGGATCACTTGGAAATGACTAATTTCCTCTTTGACTGAAAGCCTTTACTGGTGTGAGATCCTGAAGACAACATATGTCTTTACTTTAAAAGTAAATTCAACCTCTTTTCAAGTCAGTTTAAAATATTTTAAGTTGAAATTACTTATTCAAGTTGATTGTACTTAAAAATAATATGAACCGTTATGCTAGTTTTTATACTACACACACACACACGAGTGTTCTAAAAACGATTTAGTAACGTTCCAGTTAAGTTATAAAAACTGTTTTTTTTTAAAAAAAGTTCTCTGCATGTTCAAAAGTCCAAAGTCTTGTTTTCGAACATTCTATTTTAGAATTTTGCAAACATTATGAGAATGTTACTTTTGAATCTTCTCTGAATGTTCTTTTTCAACTAAAACATTTCAGGAACAAACAGACTTTTA